CATTATATTTATACTGTTTTCTGTAATTAATATACTGTTTTTTGTAATTATACACTTTTTTAATATATACTTTTAAAATTCTGTAATTAATATATACTTTTAAAACTTAAAGTGAAACAGATATACATTTGATTTGGCTGAAGCAAGAAAAAAGTTTTAGTGCAGCTTAGTGCAAGAATAAAAAAAGATCCATTGTGTTTACATCAAAACCAAGCATGGTTATAAATCAGTTAGAACATAATGTAAGATATAACAAAAGTTTAGATAACATCAAAGTTTATGCTCTTGTTCTAAAAGATCAAACGTTTAGAAATATTCCGCGAAAGCATGACGAAATGCACGACAAAGCAGCGTCGACATTTACCGCTAACAAACTAAAACTGGAAACCGGGAAACGCCGAACGTCGATCGCGGGAACACCCTATGGCGCAGCAAGACTCTAACGTAAATAAATCGTCAGCAGACGTTATTATCGGGTACGTGCCAGCGTCGCGTCCCGCCAAAGGCGTTAAAAAGCGCGTCGTGCATAAAGAAAAGTTTCGTGTACACGTAGACTGTACACCGCCATGATATAAGGTTGGCGATGATAAGTTGGCGTGTCCGGAAGCTCGAAATATTATTTATTAGACCATACATTGTAAAGGATTGCGGATTGATACTCGATCCGGCGATACGTGGACATAACGCGTTGCATGTACCCTTGAAAAATCGAGGCGCGAGCACATGGCATGTCGAAGGATCATGGCGGATCGCGGCGAGAAAGCCACGACTGACAGACATAGACATTTGTCTGTAATTATGATTTGGCCGCGATGTTGCATTTACCTTACGCTTCTCGAGATTCCGTATCTTGTGCTCGATTACGACGATCGCTTGGCGTAACGGATCCACGGTCTCCGTAGAGGCCTGTTTTTCTAGTTTGGGGTTGGCAGAAGGCATCCTTCACGGGCAACAAACACGAACTGGCTGGGACTCGGAATGGTAACCAAGTTGAACCAAGTCACGAGGAGAAGGAGGGGGTAAATGGGACGACAGAATGGCGGGCTGAACGTTTCCGAAATATTGAGGATTCGCATGCGCGACATAACTTGTCCAAATGAACTTGATTAACCAAATTTGACTCAAATCAATTCATTGATGTTTTCTCCATTTTCGCCAAAAATTGTGGAGTTTCCACATTAATGAAATTATCCGATTTTATTAAAAACTACATATTTTCAAAACGATTTTATTTAAAAAAATTAGATTAACTTAGTAAATTAAATTAATTCAACCGATAGAATTGTTTATTATCAGCAAAATTTTTGACTGTAAAATTCTTTATTTTAATTTTTCTTTCTAAATCGAACAATAAGAGATTGATGATTTTATCTATGTCAATAAAATATTGAAGATTAATTATTTGATGAATTAATTCCTTTTATTATATTCATATATAAATATTATTTATTCTATATAGTTACATTTTATTAATTTAGAATGCATTACTTTAATTTTGAGTGAAATAATATTTACAATAATTTTCAAATCTTCCGCTTATTTTCAATTTTTTCGGTTACACTTATTTCAAATTTAAGTGCGAAAATTACAATGAACTATTTTGCATTGAACATTTAATACTACACTTATATTCATTAATGATTTCTTGCATCTGATTGGCATATTCCATTAGATCGACGATTACGATTAAGGTCGGATTCTCATGCAGACGGCGCTTGAGCGTTGATTGATAAAAAAACGGATGTAAGTATAAATCTCCCTCATTCATTTTTCTCCAATGCATTTCAATTTTATCTAATAATATGATCCATCATGTTAAGTATTGAAGAAACTCTCATTTCTTTTTCATTCAAGAAAATTTACCCTATTCTTATTTATTCAATCTGTTCTATGCTGTTTTAATATAAAGCCTCTTCTTTTTAATTGAACTTTTTGATTGGTTCATCTTTTCACGTTTTCTTTTCAACATGGAAAGAAAAGGAAGAAAGATGAATCATTCAAGAACTTCAGCTAAGAAGAACATATCTATAACTAAACAAGACAAACTTCTGAAATATGTTTTGAAATGCACGAACAGCTAAAAATCTTTAATTCATGTTGTATCTATGCTTTTAGACTACGTTCAAAAAAACAACTTGCAACTGTTTATTCTTAAGTCAGTGTTAATTCATAATCGATTCTTATATTTAAGACTGTTTAAGTACAGTCTTAAATGTCACGAACCAATCAGGGCCGCGTAAAAGCCGCAGCACAGACTTTTGCATAATGCATAACGCATAATGCATAAGCAAATCAAATAATCAGAATCTTTTTTTTCCTATCATTTCATAGAAAAGAAGGATTTCGATTGGTTAATTCCCTTATGAGCTATGCATTATGCGAGAGCCTGTGCTGCAGCCATTAACTTAAGATATTACTTAAGACATTACTTAAGGAGGTTCTATTCTTTAGAGAGTGAAAAAAATCGATTTTTTTTTTACAGTTTTTACATCTCTTAAGTGTGTAGAATATGCCTGTAAAAAGATTTTGCAATATTCAAAATTGTAAAACAATTTATGACTTGTTAAACTAAATTTTGCATCGATCAAAAATCAAGGTATTATGCGCAAAACAAGCAAGAATCGAAAGAAGAAGGGCTCAAATGCAGCAAAACATTTGTTCTTCAAACAGGAGGAGAAATTGACTTATAGGCCAGGAATCGCTAATTAAATTAAGTTGCAAAATATTATTAACAAAAAGTTATTATAAAATAAAACTTTAAACACGTTTTTCTCGAATTCACGTTTTTCAAATTGGCGGAAAATGTACAGCTTTAACAAATCATCTGATTGACATGTTTTTTTCTACGAAGTTTTTTTTTTACGAAAAATGCCAGTTACTAATCGGCTGTTAATTGACCAATCACATTTGCTGTTTAGTAGAATTGACCAATTACGGTTGATAGTTAATGCTGATTAATCGATATTGGTATAAAATCGGATTTTTTAGATTAAAATATTTTCTTGTTGTTTATCGAATGTTAAACAAGGATAGCATCTGGGAAGCATTCGGGTGGGAATCTGAGAATCAATTGTGTATCTTGATACGAGGTGAAAATTATAAAAGAATAATTCACTAGATATTGACCAATTAAATTATGAATATTCTAGTGAATTTGCTAATTTTTGTAATTTTCATCTCATTTCGAGATACATAATCGACTGAACACGCCCTAGAATCTAAAATGTTTCTATTGGAAGGCAATTTTTAGCGCCATCGTAGTGAATCCACAAATGGTGAACTAAAGTTAATCACGTGACAAGAAGAGGGAAACTGATGCCATATTTAAACCAGCGCGTTCATATAAATAAATACCTAGTCATAAATTATATAACAATTGCTTAAGAACTTATAATATCCTACGCATTTTTTGCAAATAGATAGTATTGTAGAAAAGTAGTATTTAATTTTGTTCAAACAAATTCTGCTTTATAAAATCAGATAGTAAGTCAATGTTTAAATTTTTAAATGAGTTTCACGGTTTGAGATTTATTGATAGAGCAAGTTCTTCTTCCATTTCAACAAGAAGAAAATTGTTTATGATGTATGTATTTACATTACATATGGCAAATGCTCTGTTCAATTTCAATTCTAACTTTAAATTTTAGTTTGCGTCATATTATTTTTATTTTTCTTTTTTATCTTATCATTATTCATATGCACGTACACTTCATGTACTGATAATTAAAGTGTTTAGTACAAAATTTTCCTGTAAATAGTGACATTTTGCTAATCTTTGTGATTGTTAACACTTCGTGGATGTTTATACTAAGCTACTTTGGAAAGCAAGATGTGCAAAAGATAAAAATCCCGGAGCTAATAGAATATTTAGAATCAAGTTATAAATGTTGCTCTTTTAGTTTTTCAATACTACTATAATAGTCCTCCAAATAGAACAGTAAGTTATGATATCAAGATGATTCCAAAATGATCGTTAAAAGTCATTTTTCTATCATTTCCGATTCATTTTAATGTTTGGACATTAAACATCGTAACTTATTGTTCTTGGAATTGTCTTTAGTTTTCCTCTAAAAAAAACAGTATCTTGATATAAAGAATTTAAAGAATTAAAAACATAATTAAATTGTAACAAAAGATATTAAAATATACTTTTATAAAATATAAATCTTATAACGCAAACTCAGGTAGAATATAAAAGTCACAATAATCAAAGAACGTTATTCATCATGATCTTATTTGTCATTTATAATGAATATACGTATAATATTAAATATTAAAATACACTTTTGTAAAGTTTAAATCTTATAACATAAGTCCAGATAGACATAGAAGTCACAATAACATCATATAAGAATATCATTGTGACTTCATTTGTCATTTATAAGTGACAAAGAACTTGTAAATGACAAATAAGGTCATGATAATAAGGTCATGATTTTTTATGATATTATTATAATTCTATATTCTACCTGAATGCATTATAAAATTTAAACTTTACAGAAGTAATATTTTAATTCTTTAAAAGTTTAATTTAAGTATTAAATTTAAGTTAAATTTAAGTATTTTAAATTGTTACATTATTATGACCTTATTTATATGTGACAAATGAAGTCATGATAACGTCTTATGACTGTGTTCCATCCAGAAGATATTTTTTCCATAGCATCATTAGAAAGTGATAGAGAAATAGTAGCATTAATTAACATCAATATATGATGAAATGTCCAAAGATATACTCGTTTCTCCAAGTAAATATGTACGATTCATTCACATTGATCTCTGCCTCTTTCACGAATTCTCCGTCCCTCCGGTCACTTTCCGTTTGTGTGCTCGACCAACATCACTGTCTCTGACACGTTATAGTTCTATCAGCGGAGATTTGACATTTGACCCTTGACGCTGGCCTAAGTGTTCGCGTCGGCGGGTAAATCGCAAGCATTCCGCGGGATCGGCAGTCCCGCGTCAATCATCGCGCGCTTAATTATACTTACTTGGCCGAATTCCGTTGTTTAGCAGTCGTCGATCACGTGCATCCGCATATATAATCGCATTCCCCCGCGTTATGCGAAACTTGCGATATCCAACGGGGCGCGTCCTTCTATACGTTTCGACGTAGACGATAAATCCTTCTCTTTATTTTCTTCTTTATTTTTCCTCTTTATTTTTCTTCTTAATTTTTTTTCGTCTCGCCGCGATACGGAATTTTTTTCGATTGTTCTATCGAACTGATGTGTGTCAGCGTTTATGCGATAATCTCAGTCAAGAAAATGGATTGAGACCATGCACGTGGAAAATGCGCTCGCGATTGCCACAGGTTCACGCGCGAGGGTGAAGCAGCGCGATTAGAAAATTCCGCGATTATTCGCAAGAAAGAGATAATCGTGGCAGAAGTTTTCACATTTTCACGAAGAAGCTACGGTGCACAGTCAATGGGATTTCGCTGTTAAAAGCAGAGTTTCAGATTTTTTTCAATATCAAAATCTGATTGAAGCTAACCGACACTTTGCATCGTCGATTAAATCTCACATGAATAACTCAATTGGAAAATTATAATTATTAAAAATTATAAATTGCAGTTTACAATTTGAAAGGGAACGAAGTGGATAAAGAAGTGCCAAGAATAAGTTCATATATCGAAGCTGCGAAATTGCACCGAGTAAGCAATTGGTCGAATAAATATTATTTTGAAAATTTTTTCTCATCGAAAAAGACATACGATTTATTCTTATACAATTTTTTCTTAATGTATTTTTATTTAAAAAATAAGAGTGTAGAGATAATATTTATTTTTTATATTTATTGAAAATACAAATAAAAACTAGAAAATATTTCTAAGGGAAACCGAAGGAAAAACTGTACAACCATAAATCGTATTATCTTCACGTCGTAGTTATCTATCATCTTTCTTGTTAGGAACTAAATCGTCACAGAGACAGACGTCGTCGGCATTGACATTTTGTCGCAGTTATTTACTGTTCGAAAACAAATAACAGCAAATTATTTCTTATACAAACATTATATTTATATAAAAAATAATTTTTTTTAATTTCAAAAATGATTAATCGTCTTCGTATCGATTCGCTTCAGTTTTCCTTTTGCGACAAATAAATTCTTAATTTTTAAATATTTCTAATTTATAATTTGATATCTTTTACGCAACGCGTCCCAAATACGCGAAACATTAATCAGGTTTTATTGCCCGACGAATTACATTATATCGATACGTCGATATGAAGCTTCATGCGAAGGAGGATTCTTAATTGAATGATATAAACGACTCCATTCCGATAGCATCATATTCTACGCTTTTTACGTCATATAAAATCCGATACAAATTTATAAATATCTTTCTTCATATAATTGGCAAATTATTTGATATAATTACTGATATAATTGTTATAAGAGCTAAAACGCGTGCTTATTACGATTGACGCTGTACTTAATCTCATGTAAACAAAGCCTCTAGTCTAATCTAATCTAGGCGTTCCTGGACGAAAACATTTAATAGTCTATTTTTTATTTTTTTTTTTTTGTGAAATAAATTGCGCAAATCATATTTGAACCGAAATCAAGGCAGATCAGTTAGCGTCGTATCAACCATGTCGCTCATTCGCACAAAATATATATATTGTGAAAATAACGAGAATTCAGATAAAGGATCGCGATAATTATCGGCATCCAGGAAGAAAAATTATTTTCTCCTAACGTATTGAAATCTCTTATCGAACATTTCGTACTATATTGATTCAGCACATTATTCTGCGTCGTAGAAAAATTACTCGATTTTCAGAAAATATGCTGAAAATCGAGCAACAATTTTTTGCATCAATTTTATTTTGACTTTGTGTAAATGATGTTATATTTGATAACATTTTTTAACCTATTTCCTATATTTACTTGAAGCATATAGTGTTAGTGCATTAATTCTACCAAAACAAGCGTCACATTTATATCACTTAAATCCCCAAAAAATCGAACACCACGATTAAACGAAGTTTATTACAGCAATTAATTGAAGAAAAACAACTTGTTAATGATATCTTAACGTGTTTTCCCCCCCGATGCACTTTGTGCCTCGAGGCCGAAGTTTAGTTCCGTATTTCTGCGCATGTTAAATGATATAAGGCGGATTTGGTACTTTGGAACGCGATCCATATTGATGATTTAATATCAAAACTGCAGCAATGCAATAAGATATATGAGTTGCTTTCTTTCTAATATCTTTCTTTTATTTTATCTCATTTTTTCTTCTTAATGAACAACCAAGTGCGATTTTGACCAGTTCTCAAAGAATATAACAGTTCGTAAACAGTTACCAAAAATAGCAGACTAATGCCCGTTTCAATCAATGTAGATTAATTTTAATCTCGGTTCAACTTACTTTTCAGTCTTTTTTATTTCTTAGAATTAGAAAAAAATGAAGAGTTAATCCAAGCAGAGCAACAAGTCATGATAATGTGAAAATAAATCGAAAATGATTGAAAAATAACTTTTAATCGTTTTGGAGTTATTTTGACATCATAATGACTTATTGTTCTGCTTGGATAATTAGATCAAGATTAAAATTAAACTACATTGGTAGAAACAAGCATTCGAGCCTGGGCTTCAACACCTACGTCGCTCGGACCTGCGCCGAAGCTTCTGTATGTCAACAAGAACTCGAGAAGTAAAACGAATCAGTATTATAACATACCCCGCACAATGAGGGTTCGTTATCACTAGCACACAGGGGCGACACAATTACAAGTAGATCGCGATCGACGAATGTCGCTTCGAAATATATTATTTTGCACTCGGCACGCTCTCTTCGGCTGATTTACAATGTAATTCAGGATTTATGCGATCATTCAACCCGAAGCTCTGCAACGTGAAGGCGATTCCATCCCTTTTCTCGTAAGACTCAAAACAATATAAACACCTCATAAAAAACATATTCTGTCTGAAAACTATTTTATATTTTCTTTTTTTAAATATCTCTTCATATATAAATATTTTTTTAAAAATAATAGGAAATTAATTTGAGAAGCTAAATGATTTTTACAGCAAAATCATTTTGCGTTTTGCATTTAATATAGTAGATAAATAAAAAATAAAAGTTTAAAAGATCTTTTTTTTATGTTTTAATCTCATTTTTTTTCTTCAATCGCGATTAGTTATCCAAGCTTTGAATCGCAGATCACTTTGTAATGCAATTCTTTGATGTTATCTATGTATTACATTTAAAGGCCAAATCACTAAATACAAACAAATACGATCTGGCAAACGTTCGTCATGATACGTGTATCTGTTTGAATAATTACGTATTATTTCATTCTCTTTAGATATATATATTATTCGGATTTTATTTCCCAAACTTTCCAAGCTAAAAGTGTGAGCATGAAATCTCGAATTCACATCACCACAACGAATCGTATCCTCTAACATTTCTTTTTATTATTCTATAAACTTTCAGATAAGGAAAAACTTTTGAAGTAATTCCGCAATTAAAATCCGCAAATCGAGAAAATACATGATTGCGAAAGATATATCTTTAACAAGATCGTGACAGTTTCAGATGATTGACAATTTAATCTTCAATGATATGGGGAACGTAATGCAATTAGACGAGGCCGAGGACGAAGAGAGCTTCAAGTGCAATGGCACTATTCACGCAGAACTGCCAATCGAATTGCGTTTCAATGACGGCCACTTGGTGACGATCATCACTTACAGCATCCTAATGGTGATATCGGCCATTGGAAATATTTCCGTGCTGACCATAATAAAAAAACGAAAGTCCAAATCCCGGATACAGAATCTCGTAATGCACTTGTCGATCGCTGACCTCTTTGTAAGTATAACGCTGCGAGCGCAAATAACTTGCGATAAAGTAATCATACCGTTCGCGATTTGCGCTTCAATGTAGCAAACATGAGATATGTTGCATCTTGTCATTGTCCAGGTGACATTCCTGATGATGCCATTCGAAATCGGATGGGCGAGCACGGTATCCTGGGAAGCAGGAGACGCGATGTGTCGCATAATGGCTTTCTTCAGGACATTCGGCCTGTATCTTTCATCCTTTGTAATAATCTGCATAAGTATAGACAGGTCAGCACAACAATAACCATAAATCGCGTTTATTCTGCGACACTTTTAGTACGCACTGCATATTAAAGCCTAAAAGTTGTACACTGATTTAATCTAATTATAAAAGTAAAATGTAAATATTTCGAATTATAAAATATATATTTTATTTAATAGTACAACAAAATGTGTGGAAGATTTCACGGTTTAACTCGTTTTTATATTTGTCAAAGACACATCTTTAATCGGCAATTATGTACAATGCAATAGTAATATAGGTTTAATATATATGCACTAATGAGCACTGATTGTGAGTGCATCCAATTAAATTCATTATTAGTTCCAATCCATTGAACGTTGTATCCCATACAGCAGAATGTCCAAATTACATCAGTATCATTAATATATAACAATAAAAACAATTTAATAACGCAATGTCAATAGGATATCTATGATATATTCGGGATATTTCTGCCGCGGAATACATTAACACGATTTGCGGTGTTTAGAATAATCGCACGTTTTGGATAAGACTACACATGTAACTTCATCTTCTAGATATTACGCCGTGATGCGACCTCTCCAAATACTAGATGTTCACAGGAGAGGGAAGATATTGCTGATGCTTGCGTGGATTGGCTCTATACTTTGTTCCATGCCACAGGTGCATTAATTTTTATTCAAATTGCATAAAATGCCACTTCGCTTCGTGATTAGCGCTAAATTTCGTTTCTTGTAGATGTTGGTGTTCCATCTTGAGACGCATCCAAATTACACTTGTTATACGCAATGTATAACATTCAATATCTTCCCATCGTACGTGCACGAAGTTTTCTACAGTTTGTTCGGTATGGTAGTGATGTATTGGTGTCCCCTTATTGTAATATTCTATACTTACACCAGTATTTTCATGGAGATCTGCCGTAGATCCAGGGAGAGAAGTGAAGGTATGGTTGAATGTAATTTATCGCTCTATAAGAATTATTCATATTGCACGCTCAAAATTATTTGAAGCGCGTGCACTAAAAAAGAATCTAGTTATTTAAGTAATAGTTATTTAATGTTAAATGAAATAAATTCAATCGAATATTCGGCTAATGTAATAAAAAATTAACTAATTTTACTTGTCTAAATATTTAATAATTATCATCATAGATTGATTACTATTATTATGTTTGATAATATTCTAAATATTGCACACACCAATTCGCTAAACAAAATACATTTTGCTATTACCAAACTTTTTCTCGTATTTGTATTTCTGATTTATTTAACAAATACAAATTTAATAAGAGATACTATCTAATAAACGTATAGTAATAAATAAATGATGCGATATACTAAACAGGTATTCTTTGTAGATAGAATACGTCGCTCCTCATGCAGTTTTCTAAGCCGAGCGCGAGTACGCACTTTAAAAATGACGATAACCATTATCGCTGTCTTCATTATCTGTTGGAGTCCTTACTACGTGATGAGCGTTTGGTGAGTCTATGATTACTCTTAATTTCTAAAATTTTTCTCGTCAACTAAAAAATCAATCGCGATATATAATAATAACATACGCATTTCAAAAAGTTGATAGTATCGCCAGATTATGTAAATAATAGTATATAAAAAAGATCAATGATTGATGTACATAATGTACGACTTTGACGTGACTGACGTTCACGGCTATAGGTACGCAAATTCTATCTTACAAAAAGGAAAATAACATCTCCTATATTAAAAATCTCGCTATTAAATTCTGTGATCTTTATCGGCAAACGCGTGCAAACAGGTATTGGATTGATCGATCATCAGCCCTCAAAGTCGACGAACGCATTCAGAGAGCCCTTTTCTTCTTCGCGTGCACCAACTCTAGCATGAATCCCATCATCTACGGTATCTTCAATATTCGTCAAAGAAATAAAGTAAGTATTATCTATCTCGAACGTTATGACGCTGTAAATTTTATTCAATTCAATGAAGCTTTTAGTCTGAGACATCATTAACTTGACATCTCATATAAAATCATAAATTATTTTATCGACAAAGTTTTGCATAAAAAATTTAAATTGACATGCATATATAACGATCTTACAGCCATTAAATCAAATTCATTTTAAGCATCATTTTAAGCGTGAAATAGAATTTGATTCAGGACGAATTCGTGTAATTGTCACATCAATTCGCGCTCTACATGTTGTTAATGCTACGTTTATCCATACAATTGCAAGAGATATTTTAACATCTTATGAAGACAAAAGTAAATCTATACCGCATTAAAAAAGAAGCATATTTCCATGGCTCTTGTTTGCTAAAAATTGAAAAGTCACATTAACACTTTCATTTTTTTCTACTCATACATTCAAGTTGGTTGTTGCCTGTATTTCTAGACACAGCTTCAGTCCCATCCTCTTCTGAAGCTCGTCAACACAACTGTGGAACTTCCTGTTGTCGCATACGCCAGAGATTCCATTTTCACCATTTTCGTAATAACATTGCCGATTTTTTTTAACCCTCCAACTTCATATAACAGACGTTCATCGCATGATCGTAATGGTAATTTGTTATCTCGATAATTAGATATTTTTCTCTACTAATTGATAAGTAAATCCCCCCCCCCCCCACTTCACATCTTGCATGTTTCCATGCGATTAATAGAAGAGTAATTACACATCGATATTTTCTTGAAGAAATGAAGAAAATTCTATTATATGATAACCGCAATTACAAAAAACAATATTGAATGTTCAACGTTTAAGAAAAACATTCAAGCTTCAAGACAGTCGATTAAACGAGATTTAAGACTTCGGCAGTTCCAAGTTCCACGAAAATTTCTATTTTCGTTCTAGGCGCCGATGCGTACAGCCACCATCGAGACCCGGGTCACGCCGCTGTCCCTATCCATCAAACTTCTCGATTGTCAATGAATGCGATGTTCATCGGCTCGAATAGATGCGTTTAAATCAACGATGTTAGCTTAAATATCTGCGTTCTTTTACGAAAATAAGTTTCAGCAGTAGTGCTGTCAAATGCTGCAAACTGCATCTTACATGACGGTGCATTCACGTGCAGATATTGTCCGGAAACTATCGTGTACGCAGAGCTGTTCAAAAGTTCTCATCTCACTCTAGATGTATGATGAGATTAGGCGAGATGTGAAAGCGACTGTGATCGATCAAATTAAATCGCGATGGAAGAAGAAGATCCTCTGACGAAGTTGAAGAAACGCGACGAAAAAACAGAGATTTTCCTAAGTGAACTATGTATTCATTTGTTTCTAGATATATTTATTTTCAAGTTAGATAAGAACTTTTAAAAGAAGATTCTAGACTAAGTTTTTATATGTATTTGTTTCGATATAAGCAAACGTTGCAAATGCAACCATGAATGCTTCTTCGAGTATGTGTTCTTTCTTTTTTTTATATATGTATATACTTTCGCGACACAAGGTTGTGCAAACAAGTTACGTAAGCTATTTATATACCGTTTATGTTCCGTATATTTTTATAAGAAGGAAAAAGATATCGAACAAAATGTGTGTGTTTGCATCGCGCAATCCTGTTTCATTACTTAAAAACTTTTAAAGGATAAGCACTCAATCTATTGTGTTTCTGTCTATATATTTTCCATAAATAAAAAAAGGAAAATTGTAATTTGTGACACGCGTGTAATATTCAGATTATTATTCCTGCGTGATCGGGTAACGTAATATGATACACGTAATGATGTATTTCGGTCTATAACAGGTAAGGGAGTCAGCGTCTCTTTCCCGGAATCTGCAGATGCATCTCTGTAACGTTCGTCAGCTTAATTTAAATTGAGTTAAATCTGCGTGACTTCGTACTGACTTCGAAGTCTGACTCTATATAACAGGCTAGTTATATACATTAGACTCAACCCGCACATCTGTAATGTCGGTCAATTAGGATGGAAAATTGATCGCATTGTACAGTGCGGCCACGCTAAGTCTCGGTCAGCATCCAATACGGTTGAAACGTAGATAATGACGAAGACGAAATGACGGCAGAGACCGAAGCGATCCCTTTCGTTCCGCGTGTTCGCTACGGCACGTGTATCACGTGAACGAAAAATGGCATGACGTGTTGAAATCGGTTAAGAGCCATAATCTTCCGCCCATAAATTTTCAAACTCCTTTGTGGTACAACAAATCAATCTATTTGTAAATTAGAAACATCACCAATCAGTCAAATATGACAAAATATCGAATGAAATATGAAAAAGTATTAAAAGAAATACATAGAAATTTATAATAAATCCAAAAAATATATCAAATTAAGAGAAAATTAAAATGACTTTATTTTGTTGTCATGAACAGTCAAAATGATAACTTTTTACAAAATTTGTTGTTAAGGATTATTTTTATCCTTAACAACAAATGTTGACTTTTGTATGTTCTTTGAAAATTTGTATAAGTCATAAATATCTAATTTGCAAAATATTCATGTATTTAACGTTGTTAGAGTTAAGGATGTTGCTTATGCGCTCACTATTTTTTATCTTCGAATTCGAAGATTAAATTTTGAATGAAAGATTGGCAAATTTTTTTGGAGACACCGTGTATATCACCATGGAGGAAACTAGGCTGCAACGTGTCTACGGTTTGAAACTGGTGTGGATGTGTAGGTGGGACCACTTCCCACATGTAACTGGCACACCAGCGATATTGTTACATACATGTTGCAAGGTCCGTCGCATCGAAAAGACCTAAACTCCTGTCACAGAAACTCTCTCCGAGAGTTGGAGTAGTTTTTTTTAGCTATAAAAAAAGGTTAATATATCAATAAGAAGAAATTACGAACGCAGAAAGCTGGCTACCTTCCTACAGAATTTCCTTATAGTGACTTGTCTATAAATATTGCGATGTGATGATAGTTTTACAGGTACAGGTGCATTCCAAAAAAAAGCACGCAATGCTAATGTGCGAATGAGTATTGCATATTAATCGATTTCGCCGAGAAATTCCTCGTGTCACCGTAGAAGGAAGCGTTAATTTATATTAGCGCCGGCTCTGACACACCTTTCCGCTATGATTATTTCATATCGTTAAAAACACCTTGTGGGCGGATGCATACAATAATGTCGGAGTAATGTATTGACGATACCATTAATCATTCAGCCAGATCATACGGCAATAATATTGCTTACTCCACTGTCCATTTTGAATTGCAGAATTGATTTAATAAAAATTAAAATGCATCCAATAATGTAATAAAATGTAAATTTCACAAAAAATGAATATATACATTTAAATAAATAATATTTTTGAGATAAAATCTTCACAAATAAATTAATTTTTCCAACCGTTCTTTTTCGATTGTCCAATTTAAATATAAATTATATTCGAACGTAAAGATTTTTATTTGCAATTTTTATTTCATTATTCTCTTTTTATTGTCTGTGTGTTTACAAGATTAATTTTAAATCTCAAACAGCCTGTCGCTCTTCTATCGTTTTTCTTTTAGAAATGCAATTACAATTTGCAGTCTTTTTAAAATAATAAAATGATTATAATTATCTTAATTTATCTTAATTCATCAGTGTTTTCTCTACTCGTTACATATACTCAGACGCAGGTAGTAAATACAAAATCTCGTTTGTAAAGCCGTATTCGTGGGCGAAGTATAAAGTCGCGGACAGTCCGTATCCGCGCTTCAGTCGGCGGCCGTGTCTTCTGCATCCGCGCGCGTGCCATTGTATCCGTCAGAATTTATTGCATCACGATTCCAAGACGAGAGAGTGGCACTGAGGGGATTGCAGGAAATTTGGGTTGCATTTGTTAATTTTTGGAAATCCACGATCGATACCGAATATTCGCGCAGAGTGTATCGGGGTCGCATCAGTATGCGGGTCCCGATTTTGTTGATTCTTGGGCTGCTGGTTATCTATGCCGTCGATGGTAACATCATATCTAACGAAGGTAAAGGTTTTGATTATAAGGAAAGTGACAAATGTTTATGAGGGATAATTCCATATTGACGAATTAGCAATGATCATGTTAACTCCGATTCGCGTTTCCATCTTGCGAAAATAAAATATTTCTTCCGTTACTTTCTTCGCCTTTCTTAGACTATAATGTTGAAGACCATTCGCGGCGCGATGCGACAAGAAACCCGGTAGTAACGTGAGATCGGTGATACGTGAGACGTCTTCACGGTTAAGTGCATTGATCAACTCTTGGTCACTCAACTCTTGTATTCTTTCGCAGAATTCTTTATATTATATCTTTAAATGTATATTAAACAGAATAAATAAAATACAATTTTCTATTAATTAACAATTAAGCTTTTTATTATATAAATGCAGGATTATTTTTAATTACTCTATCTTTTTTGTATTCTGCCGTTTTACAACAGCTCTAACTACAAGCCTGCAGGATGCTTGGTTCGATGATGAATTCGTTATCGCAATATCTAACTTTAAGGATAAGAGAAGATCTTCCAGTAGCCCATTGGAGACTCTATTATCTGTGAAATATCTGGGAAAAACAAAATTAGTGCTCATAAGCGATCGACAAACAAAACGCGGTGAGCCAAGATTTGCCTGAATCACGATCTTTTAAATTTCTGCGTTATCATTATTTTAATTTATTTAATGTTTGTCGTTTCAGTTATACTTGAGAGTCTCGATGATACGGGTAGACGAAGCACATCACATGTGAAAGTGGACAGCCTCTCAGTGAACACTCCTCCGAAGAGTCTGATTTTACTGGTGCATCAGGCGCAGCCTAATCCTCGCGTGGATGTGTACATCGATTGTAATTACGAGGGTTCTATACCGTTCAAGATAACTTTCCGCCACATATCTGCGAAAATGGACCCACTAGAAGGATACGTGGAAGTAGTAAGTTTTTATCTTTCACAAAATATTTTTCATAAAGTTTTTAATTTAGATAAATCTTGAATATATATTATCACATATGTTAGTTAAGACAATTCACGCTTTTTTTATGCTTGCCGAGGAATTAAAAATACAAAAAAAAACGTTAATACATTATCCGAAGTTGCTTTTTAAATAAAAAAAAAAATTCCCGCTTGTTTTCGTATACTTAAGTTTGTCTGATATTATTTTTTAATTGCTGTCGCTTTCTTCATTCACGATCGTATAGCAGTTTCTTATTATTCTTTTACGTGTTATTTGTGACGTCCATAAACGTGGGACGACGTCTTTCCAAATATGGTTGACAAGACCTAAGCTAGTTGCTTCTGTTACATGCACCTGGTTGGCTTACCCAACTCAGGCACAACGATCCCTGACTACTCGGATGAATTGAATTCGTTTCAATGAATTATTCGCGCCCTATTTCTGCCACTAGTGATATTACATTCTGACTTTATGCAATTATAACTCTACGATTATTTTCAATTCTCGATTCAATTCTTTGAATGTCTTTTACTACTAAAATCAAAACGATTCTTTGAATTGCCATATTGATTTTGATAGAAATTTTAAATAGTATTTAAAATATTGTTAATTTTTCTCTTAATAATTATAATTTTCTTGATATATTACAATTGAACTCTATTTATTCGAACATCGGGGAAACAATGTTTCAATAACCGATGATTTAGATAACGGGGGTTCACTAACTCTCTGCCAATTTACTAGTTCCAATAATAGAAGCTGACGTTCAGAAAATTGAAATCGAGCATATCGGGCTCCTATTACTACAACTACGACGCCGTAGTTCAGATAATAGGAACTCAACTACGAGTTCAGATTTGGACTTAAGCAAACTTGCTTGTATAGATACTGTAAATAAACGGAATTCTATTGTATTATCTACTAATTCGTTTAATTAAAATTTATTTGATTAACAGTAATATTTATTCATTTATAAACATGTTATAAAATTCTTTTAGTTCAAAGAACGAAAATGGCGAACAAAAGTGTATCAGGCTGCAACCATCACTGATGTGCTGAGGAAAGAGCAATGTCCTGACAACCTATCTGAAATGAAGCAACCTTCAGTATTCGAAATCGATACGCCGAAGACACAACCTATGGATTCTGAGGAAGACTATCAAAATAAATCTATCGATCGACTTGACGAAACAAGTGATGAAATTAATGGATGGGAATCGAATAATAAGGGTCAATGGTCTTCCAGTAATTCAAAGTTTTCCTGGGATCATAAGAAATCTTCCAATAAGAAACATCAAGATCATTCGAGTGATAGCAATCGACTTACGAAAAAAGATTACTCAGGACATCCAAAAGGCAAAAGCAAACCCGATTCATATGACTCTTCCGATCCGTTTTCTTCATCTGGTGAAACGGACAATCTTGATTATCCATATGGATCTCGTCCTTCACAACCTCTGATATCTCGCCCTAAAAAACATGCTAAATCTGGTAAATTCAAACAATCAGGTTCGAAGCTCGATAAATCGGATCCGTACGGTTATGGCAAACAATCTGGATTATATGAATCAAGATCATATAATTTTAACACAAATCCTCCCTTAATATCAAACGAGTCTGTTGGGTCACCTGTTAGATCCGAATCTTTCAACAATCCTAAACGACCTGGCCGAAGTCCGTATCCCGGTAATTTGGGTCAGAATGCGTACCCTTATCCAACAGACATACCTAATTCAGATGAATCATCCGGCAAAAGAGTACCTAGGAGAGGCGACATCGGAATCCAAAGTCTGGATGAGAAAGGTAGGTGAGATAAACGGATATTAAATTAAGTCAATTAATGTGTTCTCACGGGAAGTGTTTTCCAGTCTGCCAGACCGATGATCAAATCGTGAAAACCTTGAACGAATTAATCAACGCTACCAGGAAACTCGGGAGGGAGTTGGAACTAAATGTAAGTTAAGCGATCAAGTAATAAAGCAATTCTTTCATTATGTGTGAATTAATATCCTTGAATCTTAAATTAATGCTTTCATAATAATTTCAAATTAAAATAAACATAAAAATTTGTAAATTCTTATATTTCATTTTTTAATTTATAAATTACATAAAGTTTAATTATTAAAACATTTTGACAAAAAAAAATCGTTATTATTCAATTATAAAAAAAATGTGTGCAATTTTTGAAAGACTTACGACTTATCGTTTCGTTTTATAGAGGATGGAAACCCAACATCTTCGCCATTTGATTGAAAATTGTTCGGCGTGTCGTACACCCCCCGGTGAGTGACGTTCCGTCGTATTGAAAGGACACGTGCTCGAAAATAATAAGTTCTTTTAATTTAAAAGTTAGTCAAAACTGCATCGTAATGCCACAGTTGAATGAATCTAATTAATTTATCTCACGCGCGTCGTCCTTCACACCCTCGAAGGGTTAATCTGTACGTGACAGTTGTCAGCGGAGACTATCTATTTATACGAGTTTGTATTAAGCAATCTTTCAACGCAATAAATGCCTGTTGTTAGAAAAATTCAACTTTGTTGTGACTCTTATATTCTTGCGTTGCGCAATCTCTTTCGATATGTGGGCAGCTAGCGGAAGCTTTCATTTAATCATTTAAAACGCAATCTTTTTGCAAAGATCAAACGTCGTTAATATTTCCGAGTTAATTGTTCTTCAATTACAAATTTACAATTTTTTTATATAAAAAAATATATAAAGATCCTGTTGCAATGTAATCGAGACAAATTTTACTTGCTTCCTCTCGTCTCTCTTCTTCAGATAAATATTTCAATATATCAGAAAATGATTAATTTATTAAATTAAAAATTAAGATGGACGCTTGCAAATACAATAATAATGTAATGGTTATCCCATTGTTACACTGTCTTTACTCTAAGGAGATTAAGAATGCGCAGGATCCGCGACGTCGATTTTAAGTCAATCTCTTTAAGTACATCACTTGCACGTGCACGTACGACACGCTGGGTCGTTGCATAATTTTCTGGGCCCGCGCCGGGCCCGCTCGACGGTGTGCACGGCGCGTATGGAAGACCGGCTGTCGAAAATTCCCCGAAAATTGGCAATTCACTCGTCATTCGAGCCCGGTAATTCCGTAGTGCCAACACCGCCGCCATCCACGTGCGATCATAACTCTCCGTGCTATCCCGGCGTCGATTGCCGTAACACACCGAGCGGACCCCAGTGCGGCCCCTGTCTACGTGGTTACTCCGGAAACGGACGGATCTGCGTCAAAATCAATCCCATCACCTGCCTCCAACGGCCATGCTTCTTGGGAGTGCGGTGTTACGATGATAACGATTATGGCTACAGGCAAGAAAAACATCACTAAGTCTCTAACAATCATTTAAATCTGTAATGGAATAAGATAAAAGTATAGATTAACTTTAATCTCTATTTGTAATTTACTGTTTATCCTTTTCTAATTGTAGAATTAGAATTAAAAAAAGATAAAAAATAAGTTGAATCAAGATTAAACTTAATCTGTGTAGTAGAAATAGACATAAGACAAATTAAAGATGACAACAAATAGAATGTTTCACGAGAATCTTTGTCGTAATTTAAATATAATTCTGTTCAGATGCGACAGATGTCCAAACGGATACATCGGCGATGGCGAAAGATGCGACAGGATAAGAAACCCTTGCGACCGTCATCCCTGTCATCCGGAAGTTAAATGCCATCCTATTTACAGTCCACCGTATTTCAAGTAAACGTTTCACAAGCATATTTTCTTCAAATCCTATATATAATTTTTACTGAAATAAATTCTTTCTATAAAAATTATGAAAGCTTGTTTAAGAAATTTGTCTTCTCAAAATTACGCAATCAAACAAATTCGTAAAATTTAATATAAACAAATTTGATATAAAATGATATAAAAATTTTCACGTCTGCTTACTAGTTAGCTTAATTATTTTTCATGTTTTATATATTGTACGTTCTATATTTTTTCGAATCAAGTAGAATGTGGTGGAATATACGTATCCTGTGCTTTATGATTCTTGTCAATCTCATATGTGATGTAGATGCGGCCCATGTCCATCGGGATATGTGGGTAACGGCACGGTGTGTCTCGATGCGAATGAATGCGAGCTGGCACGACCCTGTCACCCCGGAGTACGGTGCATGAATCTCCATCCTGGATACAGATGCGACCGTTGCCCGACAGGTTACACGGGGCCGATGACGGAAGGCGTCGGTGTCGAAATGGCCAGGACGCGAAAACAAATCTGCCAGGACATAAACGAGTGCGAGACCAACAACGGCGGATGCGATCCCTATTCGGAGTGTATTAACACGGAGGTGAGATGTTTATTCAGCAAACAAGTTAGCATTATTTGTTGTCATTTTGATGTTAAAATGACGATAAATAAAGTCGGTTTATTTGCTGGATGTTTAATAAGTTAAAATCCATTTTGTTCTATGTTTCAAATATATTACTTTCTGTTCCTGAAGGGATCCTTCAGATGCGGTCCGTGCAGAAGTGGTTACGTTGGAAATCGAACGACAGGATGTCATGTTCAGAAAGGTGTCTGCCCAGGTTTGATAACAGTCTGTGATGTCAATGCCTATTGCATCGCCATGTATGCCAACGAATTCACATGCAAGGTAAGCGTCTCTATTGTGTACTTATCATCCAACGAAAACGGAAAATATAAATAAAAATATGAGCTTACAATTAGTGGAATGAATTTGGATATTAATATTTTAAAAAATTAATAAAAAATAGAGCTGTCATCTTTGCGATTCTCTTTAAATGTTTATAATTATAATAAATTGTAACTACAATCCCTATTTTATTATCTAATTTTACTGATTAAAATTCGTCTCTTTTAATCAAAATCTTTTGTAGTGTCATGTTGGTTGGACCGGAAATGGATATTTTTGTGGTCCTGACAGCGACAACGACGGTATCCCCGATAGTAGTCTTAATTGCCACGACCGTCGTTGTTACGCTGACAATTGTAAGACGGTACCGAACAGTGGCCAGGAGGATGCCGACGGTGATGGTATCGGTAACGCTTGCGACGATGACGCTGACAATGACGGCGTATTGAATCTCACCGATAACTGTTGGCTCATTTATAATTCAAACCAGCTCGACAGCGATAACGACAAAGTCGGTGATGCCTGTGATAATTGCCCGATGAATTGGAATTTTAATCAGGAGGACATTGACGACGATGGCGAAGGTGACGCGTGTGATAACGATTTGGATAACGATGGTAAATTTTTAAAAAAGAATACAAGCAACACACACACATATACACGATTATGTGAATCTTTACAAATGTTGGTGTATAAATTAGTTTACGTACCAATTTCATGGAGGCTCATAGATATTTTTTATTACTATATTAGATTTATTCTTAAAACCTCAAATATTATTATTCTATTTTATTTTGAATTAAAAATTTTCACACATTTTTTCATCATTTTAAAAAATTACTAGTTGAAATTGTTGACAATAAATGATGTAACTAATAAAGGGATATTGTTCAGGTATACCCAATAATCAAGACAACTGTATCAACTTAAAGAATTCAAATCAGCGCGACATCGATGCGGACGGCATCGGCGATATCTGCGACAATTGTCCTAATATTAGCAATGCTGACCAAAATGATATCGACGGCGATGGCGTTGGGGATGTTTGCGATACCAATTCGGATCGCGACAGGGATGGTGTCCAGGATGACAAGGACAATTGTCCGGACGTGGCGAATCCCGGACAGAACGACGGCGATCATGACGGCATGGGCGATGAATGCGATGACGACATCGACGGAGATGGTATACCTAACAAGAGCGATAACTGTCCTTACGTCTACAATTTGGATCAGCGTGATCTTAATCCCCGTAAGTTTTAACGGGTTCCTTCATGATAAGATTTAGATTGTAATCTAATTTTTTTTCTGTAGGCAGAAATATAAAATTTTATATTAAAATATTAAATTAAAATTTCCTTGATTTTAAACAGAATATTGCACAATAAAAAAATTTATTAAATCTTAATAATACATACTTCTTTGAATAGAAGTATAAA